GATCACGACCCAAGACGAACAACTGGCCCTGGTGAGCGGGTCGGAATTTCCGGGAGATTCCCGCTGCCACGTGCCGAGTAGAGTAGCCGTTTTCTGCCGCCCCCTGGTGCACTGCCGCGCGACGTGTCGACGGGAGCAGCTTCTCTTCCGCGCCGTGGCGCTGCCGCTCCGCGCGCCCATGGGCCCTCGCAGGCCTGCCCTAGAGACGAGACTCGTAGTGTGGCAGTGCCGCCCCGATCCGTGCGGAAGATCTCAAAACGAATGATTGCAAAAAAACACACACAAAAAAAACAAAAAAAACAAAAAACAAAAAAACAAAAAAAACAAAACAAAAAAAAACACCAAAAAAACACACGTTCGAGTGGAGCAGTTGTTCGCCCCCCCCCCCGAGGCGTTGCTACGCGACAAGCTGGGCGGCACGACGCTAAATGTTCCTTACCGCGGCAGTGCCACGCCCGGAGCAGAGTGGATTTTCTGTTCGCCCCCAGGGCGTTGCCCCTAAGCGAGTAGAGCGGAGTGTTCTTTCTCGCTCCCTCCGGACGTTCCCACGTGACGAGTAGGGAGTGGATCGTATTGTTGTCCGCCCTTCGGCGTTGCCACGTGACGAATAGAGCAGGGCAGTAGTCGTGTCTCGCTTCCCGTGCTTTGCTGCGTGGCGCGTCGAGCGGAGCATATTCTTGTTCGCACCGTGCCGATGCCGCTCCGCGCGCCCATCGGCCCGCACAGGCCTGCCCTAGAAGTGAGAACTCCAGGTTCAGTGGCAACTCATGAGGGCCTCCCACAACATCTTGTCGGCTCTCGCGAATCGACGCTAGTCGACGCTGAATCGACGCTCATTGACGCTAAATCGACGCTAAGTCGGCGCTATCTCATCGACTCCCAGACGCTAATCGACGCAAGTGCGGAAGGATCTGTTTCCGCCCCTCGGCGTTTCCACGTGATGAGCAGAGTAGAGCAGAGTAGTTTCCGTTACGTGCCCTCTGTGCGTCGCCGCGCGACGTGTCGAAGAGAACAACGTGTCTTTTCGCCCCGTGGCGCTGCCGCTCCGCGCGCCCATCGGCTCGCGCAGGCCCTAGAACTGAAAACCCTGAGCGTAACACGGCCGATCCGCGCGGAAGATCTCAAAATCAGGGCAGCGAATGGAGCATGTTTTTCGCCGAACTCCCGGGGCGTTGCCACGGGGCGAGTCGAGTAGAGTGCTATAGTCTCCTTACCGCGGCGTTGCCGCGCTCGGAGTGGTGGAATCTTTTGCTCGGCCCGAAGGCGTCGCCACGTGGCGAGCAAGAGTGGAGTGCTCTTTTTCGCCTTCCCAGGTGCTGCCGCGCGGCTCGTAGGAATGGACTCGTCTTGTTGTCCGCCCCTCGGCGTCGCCGCGTGACGAGCAGAGCAGAGCAACAGCTCTGCTTCGCTTCCCGTGCGTGGCCGCGTACCGCGTCGTGGCGCAGCCGCTCCGCGCGCCCAGTGGCCCGCGCCGGCCTGACCTGAAACTGATGAGTGTTGAGAACTCCGATTGTGTCAGGACTGCCGATCCGCGCGGAAGCGCTCAAAACCAAGGCGTCCAGTGGATAACGATTGAAAAACAGGTGCAAGGGACTGGCGCCAGTATCGTCACTTTCGTGGCCTCCTGGGAGGTCCAGCGGAAGTGGGTTGTCACGCAACCCGTCGAGATCTCGTGACCCCTTGTAGCGCTGCGAATTGCGAAAGTGTCGCCACTTTCGCGGGCGTGCACCCCGTAGAGATCTCGCGGCTCCACGGAGGGGCTGCGAACTGCGCATTTGTCGGCGCTCACACGGGCTCCCAGGAGGTCCAGCGGAGTGGGGTGTCACGCAAACGTCGCCGAGGCCTCCCAACTCCCTTGGAATTCCAGCTCTGGGCGTGGTGCGCAATCCCCGCTTTGGGCTCTGGGGATTCCGGGCTTTGGCTGGAATGGGTTCCAAGCTCAAGCTCGTTTCGCCGCCCGCGCGTTGCCGCGCGGCGCGTCGAGCGCAGCAATGTTTGTTTCCGCCCCGTGCCGATACCGCTCCGCGCGCGCCCATCGGCCAGCTGTGAATCACGAGACGGATTGATTCTCGAGGTGCCAAAGCCCATATATATATGTATATATATATATATATATGTGCGTATATATATATATATATATATATATATATATCGATTTCACCCTGAGCCCTCTACCCTGAGAGAACGCTCGGAAATAGGAACGTGCGCAGGGTGTGGCGCGCCACACCTGGCCACGCCTCTATGTCTGGACAGAACTCTGGGTGTGGCCGTGCAGCCTGTCCTCCGCGCGAGAGGTCTCAAACTGACGGCATCGAACGGGGCATGTCTCGCCGCCGAGGCGTTGCTACGCGACGGGTCGAATGGAATCCTTCTGTCCCCCCGCGGCGTTGCCATGTCCGGAGTGGAGTAGCTGTTTCGCCCCCATGGCGTTGCCTCTTGGCGAATAGGAGGGGGATCATACCTTTGTCCGCCACTCAGCGTTGCCGCGTAACGAATAGAATAGATGAATAATTTAGATTCGCATCCCGTGCGTTGCCGCGTGGCGCGTCGAGCGGAGCAATTTCTTTTCGCCCCGTGGCGTTGCCGCTCCGCGCGCCCATCGGCCCGCGCAGGCCTGCCCCAGAATTGAGAGCTCTGAATGTGTGTCAATGCGGCTGATCCGCGCAGAAGACTTTCAAATCAGGGCATCGAGTGTAGCATTTTTTCGCCCCCCGCCCCACCCCACCTCAGAGGCGTTGCCACGCGGCGAGTCGAGTGGAATGCTATCTGCTCCTCCCCGCGGCGTTGCCGCGCCACGCCCGGAGCAGGGAGGATCTTGTCTTCGCCGCCGAGGCGGTGCGGCGTGGCACGCCGAGCGGAGTGCTATGCTCTCGCCCCCCCCCCCCAGGCGTTGCCACACGGCGAGTCGGAGTGGATTCGTAACTTCGTCCGCCGCTCGGCGCTGCCACGCGACGCGTAGGGTCGGGCTTGATCGGAGAGGACACGCGATAGGGCGACGATATCTATACATATCCACTGCTCCCGGCCAGGCCAATCCTGGGCCCAAGAGCTGTGTATACGCCCTCCTGGCTTGGCCAGGGAGGCATATACACCGCTCCTGGGCCCAGGATGGGCCTGGCCAGGAGCAGTGGATATGCATAGATCTCGTCGCCCCAACGCGAGGGGACACGAGCACCCTCCGAGGGCCACGTCGCCACAGGAATGAAGGAGAAGCACGGGGTTCGCGAGACACGGGGCACGACGGGCGCCCTGGATCTGGCGGGGTCGACCTACTCATCCGGGCCGACTGTGGAGCGGAGCATGCGGGTCGGGAAAATGACCACAGCCACAGCTTCTTGTTTGCGCCGCCTTCTATGACTACCTACCAGACCACCCCGACCCAACCCGAAGACCTGAATTTCGGGTTGGGGGGGGTATGGGCTCCATATGTGTTTTTTCGATGTTCCCGGACCCCCCCCCACTAGAAATCGAGGGTAAATCCGAGCCTTCGGGTTGGGTTGGGGTGGTTTGGTGGGTGGTGATTCTAGCTGGCCGAAAAAGAAGCAGTGGTTGTGGTCATCTGCCTGGTGCCAAGTTTAACGAAATGACCACAACCACTGCTTTGTTTCTGCTGGCTGGGAGGCGGCAACAGAAGAAAAGCAGTGGTCGTGGTCATTTCCCCGTCCCGTAGAGCAGCAGTCTCGCGTCGCCCCGTGCGTGTCGAGGGAACCCCCCCCGCGCGCTGCCGCACGACGTGCCGAAAGGGGAGCAGCTTATGCGCGGCCCGCGCCGCGGCGCCTTTTGCCCGCTCCGTGCGCCCGCCGGCCCTCGCAGGCCTGCTCCGCAGCACTGAAACTGGCAATCGCTCGGACGTCCATCCTCCTCCTCCCTCGCTCCTCCTCCTCCCTCCTCTTCCTCCTCCCTCCTCCTCCTCCTCCTCCTCCTCCTCCTCCTCCCTCCTCCTCCTCCCCTCCCTCCTCCTCCCCTCCTCCTCCTCCTCCTCCTCCTCCTCCTCCTCCTCCTCCTCCTCCTCCTCCTCCTCCTCCTCCTCCTCCCTCCTTCTCCTCCTCCTCCTCCTCCTCCTCCTCCTCCTCCTCCTCCTCCTCCTCCTCCTCCTCATTGTTCCTCCTCACTGTTCCTCCGCGTGCTTTCTTTGCCCGCCTGTTTTTCCTCCCCGACAACCCCAGCCGCGGCTCCCCGACACCCCCAGCCGCTTTTTTTTGTTTCGTGCGTGGTTTTGTCGCCAAATGATCAAGGATGCTCCTCGATGGTCCTCGCCGAAGGAAGAATGCACACGTCCGAGCGATGCCGAGGAAAACTCTGAGCGTGGCAGTGCGGCCGGTCCGCGCGGCAGATCTCGAAATCAGGGCATCGAGTGGAGAACTGGGCTGCCTCGATACGCAACACGCGACACATAGCGTATGGATACGGAGCTCAACACGTGGACGGAACACGCAAGTCAGCCAACACGCAACATATCGACACGGACGTTTTCAGCACGGTACGTGTTGCGTTTCAAAACGGGCGTATGGAGGCAGCTCTGGTGGAGCATGCTTTGCGCCCAACTCCCAGGGCGTTGCCACGCGGCGTGTCGAGCGGAAAGCTATATCTGCTCCTCCCCGCGGCGTTGCCGCGACCCGAGTAGAGTCGAGCGGAATATGTTCCGCCCCGAGGGCGTCGCCACGCGGCGAGTAGAGTGGAGTGTTTGTGACGAGTAGGAGGGGAATCGCATTTGTTTGCTTACCTCGACGTTGCTACGTGACGAAAGTAATCGATTCATCATGTAGTTTCGCTTCCCGTGCGGTGCCGCGTGGCGTGTCGAACGGACTAATTTCTTTTCGCACCGCGGCGATGCCGCTCCGCGCACCCATCGGCCCGCGCAGGCCTGCCCTAGAATTAGGAACTCCGAGTGTGTCAGGACTGCCGATCCGCGCGGAAATTCTCAAAGTCAGGGCGTCCAGTGGATAGTGATTGAAAAACCGGTGCAAGGGAGTTGCGCCATTATCGTCACTATCGTGGGCTCCTGGGAGGTCCAGCAGGAATGCGTTTGCACGCGCAACCTGTCGAGATCTCGCGGCTTCTTGGAGCGCTGCGAATTGCGCAAGTGTCGCCACTTTCGCGGGCTGGGGTGCCACGCAAATCCCGTAGGGATCTCGTGGCTCCCCCGGGGGGCTGCGAACTGCACAATTGACGGCGCTCAAGTGGCATCCTGGGAGGTCCAGCGGAGTGGGGTGTTACGCAAACCTTGTCGAGACCTCGCGCTTCTCTTGTAATTCTGGTCCTGGGCGTGGAGTTATGGGTTCGCCTGTCGATCACCCGCTGGAGCGACCAGCCGAGGTGGGGAGGCTGGTGCTGCTGCTGATCGTGCTGCGGCTGACCGTGCTGCCGCTGATGCGGCTGCTGCTCCTCGCCTTCCCAGGGCGAAGAGGAGGGCACGATACCATTGGCTCTGGGCACGTTCCAAGAACTCTGGAACATCTTTCGGCCCGCGCTTCTGCAACCCGTGTGGAACACCCGGCAATCTTGGAAACCCTGGAAGTTCTGGCACGCATCATTCCCGTGACCTCTCCCTCTTCTGACCTTCCCTCCTCCCCCGAGCACCAGGATTCGGCGTTGGACAAACCTCCCTTTAGTAAACCTCCCTTTAGTGAAAACGGCCTGGGACCGAAACCGACTGACCTGGACCCGCAAAAATGACGGCCGCGACGTCCTCCCGCGAACCGAAAACGGCCGATTCACTAATCGACGTGTCAGGGTAGGAGGTCCGTCCACCCCCGAAGGATGCACAATTCGACTCAGCACCCCGTTGTATCCCACTGGCAGGCAGCCCGGGAGCACGAGATCGGCGAGGTGAGCTCGCCTCGAGGGTCTGCCAGGGGGCTGCCACGTCACGGCCGCCCCGCGGGCGCCGGGCGCGGCCGGGAGGAGAGCGGGCTCGTGTCACCGCACGGGGCGATGCGCAGGCAAGGAACACACCAACACCTAGGCTTAAGTCGGGCGTGTCCCCCTACAGGGGTATTTTCGACGGAAAAAATATTCAAAACATATTCCCAAATGGTCAGAACATACCCCAAAAGTAGTCTCCAGACTATTTTTTGACTATTTTTTGATCTTCTCCCTGTAGAGGGACAGGCCCGACCTAGACCTGGGCCAAGCGTGGACGTCGACGATGACGAGGAGGGAGGCCCTGCCCCTCGTTCTCTCCCGATCGCAGCCGCGGCCTGCCATCGCTTCGAGCTGGAGGAGCTGGAACGTGATCTCCAGAGACGCGGCCTTCGACTCCAGCTTCCGGGTGACGACGCTGAAGTGGCGCTGTCGCTCTCTCCCCTGCCCCGCTGCGGTGGCTGGTGTCGACTGGCAGCCACTGCCGCTCCATTGTCTACCCTCTCCTGCTTCGCCCCCTCCCCCTCCTCGCTCCTCCGCTTGCCGATTCTGCTGCTCGTCACACTCCCCCTCCTCCTCCTGCTCCTCCTCCTCCTCCTCCTCCGCCTCCTCCTCCTCCTCCGCCAGCCTCCGCCTCTCAACCTCCCTCCCCCGAGATCCGACGCGGCGAACAACATGCGACATCGCAAAACATCGCGACTAGAGCCCCAGGCTCCCTCTTTCTGCGGCCTCACTCGAAGCGGATCGGGCTGATACGTCGTGGATCTCCTGACCCGGGTCACTCCAGACCCGGGTCAGTCAAGCCTTGCAGAATCCTGCGCGATCCTGTAAGATCCTGCACCCAAGCCCGGGTCAGTGCGAAGGATCCTGCAAAATCCTGCGGGATCCTGCACCCAAGTCAATGCGACCCTGGCCCTGCAGGATCAAACCCGGGTCAATGCGATCCTGGCCCTGCAGGATCCCTATACCCCCGTTTGCACTGACCCCCGCCTCAAGGCTCCCGAATATGGTCTTGGGGCCCGAAACCGGGCACACACGCCCAGCGTGAAGAAATGCAGCGCCCGGATCTCAGGGGCTCCTCTCCTCTCCTGTGCAGGAGAGCCCAGAATCGGATCGACAAGTCGGATCGGCGATCGAAGAGGATCGGATCGGCGGAAATCGGCAACCGAGCCGTGAAAAGTCGAATCGGCAAGCATCGGCAGGCTAGTGGACATCAACTGACAATCGGATCCCAATTCCGAATCCGAAGATGGAACGAATCGGAATCGGCATCCATCGAAGTCGGATCGAACCGCATCGGAGGAATCGAAATGAGCCCTGTGTCCAACCCACCCCTCCTCCGCTGCACTTCCCTCTTCCCCGAGATCACCCGACTCTGCGCTTGCGCCGCGAACCGGCCCCGAGGCGCGGTACTCCGCACGCCATCTCGCGCCCCCCCCCCCCCGGAGGACAGCTCTCGCGCCCGGGCCGCGGGGCGCGAAGCGCGGTTATTATCGTACCCTCTCATCCTCCCTCCGCCCTCCCTCCCTCCTCCCTCCTCCCTCCTCCCTCCTCCCTCCTCCCTCCTCCCTCCTCCGTCCTCCCTCCTCCTCCCTCCCTCCTCCGTCCTCCCTCCTTCCTCCCTCCTCCGTCCTCCCTCCTCTCTCCGTCCTCCCTCCTCCCTCCTCCCTTCTCCCTCCTCCCTCCTCCGTCACCCCTCCCCCCTCCTCCCTCCTCCTCCCTCTCCCTCCGCCCTCCGCCTTGTTCACTCCCCCCTCCTCCCTCTCCCTCCGCCCTCCGCCTTCCTCCACCCCCCCCTCCGCCTCTCCCTCCCCCGTCCCCCCTCCTCCGTCTCCCTCCGCCCTCTGCCCTCCTCCCCCTCCCTCCTCGCGTCGTCGCGCGCGCATGCCGAAATCCTTCAACAACCATCGGTTCCGTAATTAAAAAATTGAGTGTCCAAAAAGCATATCAGAGTGAGGGGGCTGAACCGAACGGTCATTCACTGTCCCCGGGTGCGTGGCTGAAGTGGAATTCCGCGATGCGGATTGTTGTTGTTGTTGTTGTTGGTGGTGGTGGTGGTGGTGCTGTTGTTGTTCTTGTTGTTGTTGTTGTTGTTGTTGTGGTTGTTGTTGTTTGTTGTTGTCGTCGTCCCACCCGCGACCCGCCCCGCGACCCACCCGCGACCCACCCCGCGACCCACCCGCGAACCACCCCGCGATCCACCCGAGACCCACCCGCGACCCACCCGCGACCCACCCCGCGACCCGCCCGCGACCCACCCCGCGACCCGCCCGCGACCCACCCCGAGACCCCCCCGGCGACCCACCCGCGACCCACCCGCGACCCACCCGCGACCCCCACCCCGCGCCGCGACCGCGACCCACCGCGACCCACCCGCGACCCACCCGCGACCCACCCCGCGACCCACTCTAAATTGACGGCGCCTGCGGCGTTTTTTTTTGCATTCGTTCCAAGTCGTTCCAGGTGGAGAACCTGCGACCCACCCGCGACCCAAACCGCGTTCAGTGTGCAAATCAAAATGTTCTGCGCCTGCGGCGGGCTGTTTTTGAATCCCTTCCAAGTGGAGGTGGAGAGCCCGCGACCCACCCGCGACCCAAACTACGTTTATTGAACAAGCCAAAACTTCGGACCTGCGGCGGGTTTCTTCTGCATTGGCGACCCACCCGCGACCCACCCGCGACCCACCCGTGACCCACCCCGACCCACCCCGCGACCCACACGCGACCCACCCCGCGACCCACCCGCGACCCACCCGTGACCCACCCGCGACCCACCGCGACCCACCCGCGACCCACCCGCGACCCTCCCCGCGACCCACCCAAAATATTCCGCGCCTGCGGCGGGCTTCTTTTGCATTCGTTCCAAGCTTGTTTTGCACTCGTAAGGGCCACGAGGTCCGACGGCCCGACGCCCGCGTCGACCGCGCCCGCCCCCTCACTCTTATCCGCAATTGCGGGGTGCTATGTAGATGTGTGTATTTATGCATGTCTATATATATACACATATATATATATATGTGTGTGTATTTATACATTTATCATACTGAAGGGGGCTGAACCGAACGGTCATTCACTGTCCATGGGTGCGTGGCTGAAGTGGAATTCCGCGATGCGGATTATTGTGGTTGTTGTTGTGGTTGCTGTTGTTTGCTGTTTGTTGTTTGTTGCTTGTTATTTGTTGTTTGTTGTTTCTTTTTTTTGTCGTCGTCCCACCCGCGACCCGGCCCGCGACCCACCCGCGACCCACCCCGCGACCCACCCCGAGACCCCGCCCGCGAACCCCCCGGCGACCCACCCGCGAGACCCCCCCGGCGACCCCCCCGGCGACCCACCCGCGACCCACCCGCGACCCACCCCGCGACCCGCCCGCGACCCACCCCGGACTCTGAAATGCAGGGCGCTGCTGCGGAACAGTCTGGAGGCCGCGTGTGCCCCCTACCGGAACGGCCACACTTGCAGATTCGGCGCTCGCGCTGTGAATGCTCTGCCCTGCCAGGGCTTTGCCGCGTCGTCCGAGCTCCCCAGCTGCCCGCACGCCCTCCTGTGCGCAGCGGCGTGGACACTCCGCGGGGCCCGGCGAGAGCTTGGGCGGTCCCCTCCAGTGTGGACACGGGGGCCCCCTGCTTGGCCGCAGGTGGGAGCCCCCCACAACCAGGGGCAGGGCCCCAGGCCCCGAGGAGGAAGACGCGGAGGCGGGCTGAGCACCGGTGGCCGAGGGTCCAAGCCTCTGGATGTGTTGAGGAAGGCGTTGGACGCCCGGATGCCTCTGGGACCATAGGGGAGGCACCCGGCGCCGTGAGCAAATCGATACTGGAGTTCGGTGGGGCACGTCCTCCTCCAGGCGGATTTTGGACGCCGCATAGAAATAGGTTAAAATAGTTTAGGAGGTAATAGAAAATTCCTCCTGTAGAGGGACGTGCCCGACTTGAGACTGGAGGCTCCGACCCGGCTCCATGGCCCCAGGAGACCCTCGCGGACCGATCCAGAGCTTAAGCATGGGGCCAAGAGCTCAGGTCGCTGACTTCTCACGACTTCTTTGAAGGGGCCCTGGGACACACAAATAAATACACACACATAAAAAAAATCCCAATACTTTTCCCATATTTTCTGGGTTTTTGTCTTCCCCCCCAATTCCCATATTCTCCCATATGTTCTCGGGAATCGGCGATTAATTGTGTCTGTGTGTTTTTTCCCCCTCCTGATTCTTGTCTCGACGGCATGATTTCTCAGGAGCCCCGCTGGGCTCCGCGGGGGAAGAGAGGGGCGTGCTCGCGGAGCAGCACGGGTGCTCCTCGAGGGCCCCCCCGCGCTGCCCAAGCAGGGGTGCGCGCGGACGAGGCGTCACCGACGAGAGGGATGATGATGATGATGCTGATGATGATGATGCTGATGATGATGATGCTGCTGCTGCTGCTGCTGATGATGATGATGATGATGCTGATGATGATGATGATGATGATGAGAAGGAGGAGGAGGAGGAGGAGGAGGAGGAGGAGGAGGAGAGCACGCTGATAGAAGGGCCCTGGAACACACATTCTCGTGGTTACAGTGGGGGCCCGACCACAAGGCACCTTCCACACGAAACCCAACCCCGAGACCCCAGGGCGTCCACGGATGGTTGGTGTGGGCGCGACACCGCTTCCCATTGCAGAGCCATCGAAACCCAAGAAACACAGGGCACCCGCGAGGCGAGCAGGGTGTTTCCTGGCAGGGGTCTCCACCGTAAGGGCCCTGGAACACACATTCTCGTGGCTATCAGAACATATCCCCCGGCAACGGGGGCCCTCCTCCTGTGACCCTCGCGCTCGCCAGGAGGAGGACGAGAAGCAGGCGGAGAAAGACGAGCCAAACACCAATCAACTGTGGCCGAAGTGCGCGCCCAGGACGAGTGCGAGGAACTCCTGGACCACACCTGCGCCCCTCCTAAGACCTGAGGCTCCCGGGCCTTAACCGCGAAGGGTCTTCAATGATGGTCCCCCCCCAAAGCTCTCGGCGGGGAATAGAAACTCGTCCCTCCTCCTCCTCGTCCTTCCCCTCCCTCCTCCTTCCCCTCCCTCCTCCTCCTCCTCCTCCGCCTCCTCCTCCTCCTCCTCCTCCTCCTCCTCCTCCTCCTCCTCCTCCTCCTCCTCCTCCTCCTCCCCCTCCCCCCTCCTCCTCCTCCTCCTCCTCCTCCTCCTCCTCCTCTTCCTCCTGCCCTTCTCCTCCTCCTCCTCCTCCTCCCCCTCCTCCTCTCCTCCTCCTCCTCCTCCTCCTCCTCCTCCTCCTCCTCCTCCTCCTCCTCCTCCTCCTCCTCCCCCTGTTCTGGGCTCCGTTTCGTAGACTCGAGGAGGAGGGAGGGCGACGACGACGACGACGACGATTCTTGCTCATTCCTCATCCATGCTCTCGCTCGCCGTGCCGTGGGTTGCAGATTCGCTTCAATGTTTGGAGTCCTCGACTTGCTCTTGGTGACAGTATCACAGCGATAGTTATTCTGGACCCTAAAGGCGACATCTGCACTCCAGGTGGCAGTCCTTTCCAATCAGTCCTCCTCCTCCTCCTCCTCCTCCTCCTCCTCCTCCTCCTCCTCTTCAGAAGCCACACCGCCGTGCCTGGGTTGTGGGGTCAGAAGCCTCACCGACGTACCTGGGTTGTGGGCCAGAAGCATCACCGCCGTTTCTGGATTGTGGGTCCGAAGCCTCACCGACGTGCCTGGGCTGTTGCTGAAAGACCTGACCGCCGTGCTTGGGTTGTGAGTCAAACGCCTCGCCGCCGGTGTGGGTAATGTGTGTCACGGACTGCACCGCCGTGCCTGGGTCGTGGGTGAAGACCCCACCGCTGTCGTCGTCGCCTTCGTCGCCGCCGTCGTCGTCTTCGTCGTTGTCGTCGTCGCCGCCGCGGGTGAATTATTTTCCCACTGTTGTCGGCCGTCCTGATTATTGTAGGGTGGTTCTTTCTCCCAGTGGGCAGTGCCTCGTGGGCTACGGAGGAATTTCGAGCATGTTCGTACAAGGCTTGCAATAGGAGTCGTTCTATCTCCAATCGACTCTTCGGTTCGTCTTCGTCGTCGTCGTCGTCGCCGCCGTCGCCGCCGCGAGGGTATTGTTTTCCCACTATTCTCGGCGGTGCTCAATACTGTTGAGCAAACAGATTTGTGAGCAGTTTCTTGTCGTCTCATGCCTCCGCGATGCGTGTTCGCACGCGTGCAGCAGTTGCGGTGGCGGCGTGTAGGGGAGGAGGAGGGAGGGAGGAGGAGGAGGAGGAAGCCGCCTGGCGTTGAACGTTGAGAGGTTTGATCACTTCTCTTGGCCTCTCAGGCCTCCGCCGCCGAGAATAATTAATTTCCAACTATTGCTGGGGTCCCAATCCGTCAATAAGCCCGCGAAACAATTCATAATTGTCCCATTATTGCCGGGGGTTTATTAAAGACCCTTCTCGAGTTACAAACTTCTCGTGCCCTGGCCATCGCAATTTGTCGTCACCACCACCGCCTCCTCATCCCCCTTCGCCCTCGCTTCCTCCTCCTCCTCCTCTTCATCGGGCTTCCGCCTCACCATTGATCTGAAGGGTTCTATTTAACTCTATCTCTCTCTCACCAACTCCTCTTCCTCTTTATCTGGCTGCCCCATCATTGGATTGAAGGAGTCTGAATATTTCTCTTTCCGCTCTCATTTCCTCTCCCACCCCTCTCTCACCGAGCATCCTTTCATCGCCACCACCCCGTGTTCAGAATGTTCTGGCGGGCCTCTCCCGGAACATTCTGGGATCATCTGCTGCTGCCTGCCTCTCGGGTCTGCCCATGGGCATGCACTGCGCCCAAACCGCGCTCACAGCGGAGTGCGCGGCGGTCCGCCGAGGCAGCCCAACAGCATCGCAGTGAAAGGGGCTCTCTCTTTCTCCTCTCTCTCTCTCTCTCTTTCTGTCTCTCTCTCTCTCTCTTTCTTTCTCTCTCTCTCTCTCTCACTGTCGTTTCCTGCCTACCTTGCGAAAACCCAGCGCCTCCCGTATCGCCTCTCCCGGAAGCGATTGCAAACGCAGCGCCGCGCCACCGCTCTCCGAGCCGACCCCCCCATCCTCGTCGCTCGGACGTCCATTCCCTCTGCTTCTTCCTGGTCTCGTGCGTGGCCTTTCCGCAGGATGCGCCAGGATGCTCCTTGATAATCCCCGCCGGGAAACAGTGCACACGTCCGAGCGATACCAAGCCCCCGCCCCCCCGCGTCGAAGACCTGCGCTGCCGCGGACCACAGAGGCCGCCTCCCCTTCGACGCCCCTCCTGCCGAGCCAGCCGCCGTCGCCGCCGACGCCCTCTTTGGTCGACGTAGCCGCAGCCGGCGCTTCGTGCACTCATTGGTGATGTTAAGTCGGGCGTGTCCCCCTACAGGTGGGTTGTGGACGAAAAATAAAACATACCCAAAAGTGATCAAACATAGTCAACAAGAACACAAAAAAGCGCCCCAATATTATTTGTTGTAAGTGTTTTCGGATCTTCCCCCTGTAGAGGGACTGGCCCGACTTGATGGCGATGTCGAGCAGCACCCCGGCGGCAGGCAGCAACAGGCAGCGGGGCGCGCTGGACGAGCTGGTGCGGCCCAGGCCCATACAGAGAGTCAGGTAGAGTTTGTAAATAGTTTTCAAAACTTATGCCATGTCCTTTGTATTGCATTTATCCTGTTTTACATAGTTTTGATATGGGATTCCTAATTTATCTACGTTTTGCATTTGGAATAATAAAATTCACATTGCGACTGAATTCGTCTGGACTGGGAGCGTGTCTATGAACGCGCGACCATGGTCGGAACCTCAAGAAGGCGCCAGCGGCGACGACTCCGGCGACTGCGAGCTCCTGAACGTCGGTCTCCAGAGGAGCAGCCCAGTATATAGTTCTGGAAGCAGCTGCCGGATGAACACGCTGAACTGAATCAAGCTCTAGAAGGAGCGCCGGAGTAAAACTCTCGAGGGAGCGCCGGAGAGAAATTCTAGAAGATGCCTGCCCCCCCCGTCGCTCCTGCGCTGCGCCCCTGCGTACGTCGTCCGCGGAGTCCTTCGCCGTCCCAAATTCTACTTCGTGTTGTACAAGGGCGCGGCGGTCCGACAGGATCCTTGCCAACACACGCCGCTTTCCCACCGCTCGGCTGCGTCCAAAAACCATCGAACTCGCATATGTAAACAGCAGACAAACCACCCCCATCATAAGCACCCCGACAAGCGAAGCCGTTTAGTAAACGCACCCATGGAAGGAATCGAACAGGGCAGGGCTGTTTAGTAAACGCCCAGGGCTGTTTAGTGAACGCGGATTGTCGGGGTCGGGGTGGTTTTCCACCCTTGGATCTGATCCGTCCAGCAAGCATCGGATCCGCGTACAGTCGGCCTTGATTGGACAGGACACGCGAGAGGACACAAGACCCTTCCGAGGGCCACACCGCCATAGGAGTGCAAGAAGGCACGTGTCGCGAGGCACAGGACACAAGGGTACCCTTGAGCTGGCAGGGTCGACCTACTAATCCGGGACGACTGTAGGATCCGCAGCGGATCCGTACCTGGATCCCACGCCCGCGGCGATGTTGACACTCCCCAGCGGGGACCCTCGTCAAAGTCTGCGGGGGCCCCTGCATTTACTTTCGGGCGCCCGACGCTGCCGCCCATGGCCTGCGACCTGCCGCCAAGCCCCCTAGACAGGTTGGGCCGAGGGCCCCTGGCCTGGCTGGACTGGCAGCCTGGCGCCATCGTGCGATCTGAAACGTCGGGGCGACGTCTCGAATCGTGCCAACGTGCCCGACTGTCTGTAGCGGGGGTTGCAAGGTTAGGATCTGCGGCCCTTGGACGCCCACGCGGAACCAGTTGCAGCGGCGCCCGCCCATCAGCTCCAGGGGACTTGCACGGTCACGAATGGGCCTCAGAGGTGAGGATGCAGTGGTATGTGGCCTTGAGAGTTCACTGCGTCCTCATAAGACACTTTGGCAATAGTTCTGCGCCCCCCCCCCGAAACTGTGTCCTGTGCTCGGGCAGCTCGTTCAAGGCGGCGCTGAGGGCGCCCAGCGGAGAGGACGCGCCGCCCTTGACCTTAAGCTCCCTGGGAGGGCGTCGGAAGTCCCAGATTCGGCACGCTGGGCGGCCAGCCAGGCCGAGGAGGGCAGACAACTTGAACGAGACGGGACGGTCGGCTGGCGACGAGCGGCGTGACTTGCGACAGCTGCTTCACGGAATGAGGGCGTGGTGCGACGTGCCGCAATGTGGCAGCCCATCCTGCTCGCGGCCCGCTTGGGATCCACCGCCCCTCTTGGGCCTTCAACTGGGAAGGCCGCTCGGCGTCTTTGCTAGGGCAGTGTAGGATGACGGTGAGGGAATGACAGCCGCGGAGTGTTGAGTCAACTATTTTCAGCCGCCTGGAAATGTGTTGGTTGAGGGATGGCAGAAACATCCCGATGATGACGACAGTGCCGAAAAGCAAGCCTCACAACATCATCGCCAAAGGCGTTGCAGCGCGCCCAATAGGGGCATCTCTTCATCGTCAACATACACTGTGTAAGATAACCAATCTAGCAACTATAGTGTGCCCCGTTTCTGCAAGTCTCCCGCGACCCCCCACAGGCGCGCAAATCCTCTTTACCCCGCGGGTGGCTCCCCGCGGACCATCGCAACAACCTGCGCAACTTCGCTCCGAACGCCGCTGCCCGTGGTAGATTGATTTGGACCCTCGCCTACAAAGCAACAACCCTTATCCAAGCATTGCGGGCTTTCGCCTCTGTGTCAACTGCCACCAAGAGAGCACAATGTCTTGTCGCAAAAGAATGCCGACTCTTGTTCGCATGGCGACCACTCGAAGGTTCCACCAACCCCGACAAGCCCAACGCATTGGCCACAGAGAAGCCTATTATCGCCTACGGTGGTCCGATATCGCAACAAGAGTGCCCCAACGTCACCAGTGTCACCTGAAGCATGGCACCAAGACGAGGCAGGCACCGAGAAATTTCTCAAGTTGTTCCGAGACGGCTTCCCAGGGCTTCTCCTAAAACAACGTCGTCGTCGTCCACCTCGTCTTGCCCTTCCTCCCCCTCCTCGTCGCCACCCTCCTCGTCGTCCTCCTCCCAAGTTGAGCGACGAGCAAAAATGGTTGCTCTACGCGAGATGACATAGCGACCTTACGCGGCGGCATAAGCAGGCCGCCAGCGCGGCACGCTACATTAGAGACGACAGCGCGACCTTACGCGGGCAGTTTACGCGCCAACGTCGGCGCAAACGACTCCGTTGTTTTGCGTCGCTCAGTTGTCCGTCGACCCGCCACTCGGGGGCGGCCAACAGGGGGGCGTCCAAGAGGCGGGGGCGTAAATCATGGCCGGCGGCATGTGCGCGGCCCAGGGGGGGGGCCAGGGGAGTATTGAAATAAGAAAGGGCGCCATGAAATCTGGGGAAAGATTATGGCCCACGCCATGACATCCAACCCCCCTTAGTCATCACCCCCCTCTTGACCACCCCCGAGCCACGGGGAATCCCCCACCCTCGGGGTCCTCAGCTCGATGCGGAGGCGGGCCGACCGGTGCTCCTCCAGCGTGAAGCCGAGGGGGCGAGCGGAGTCCGCCAGCCCCGCCCCAGCAGGCCCAAGAGGTCGGGGTGCTTTCTCCTCCGCCCTGCTCCTCCTCCTCCTCCTCCTCCCTCCTCCCTCCTCCTCCTCCCTCCCTCCTCCTCCTCCCCCTCCTTCTCCTCCTCCTCCCCTCCTCCTCCTCCTCCTCCTCCTCCTCCTCCTCCCTCCTCCCTCCTCCTCCTCCTCCTCCTCCTCCTCTCCTCCTCCTCCTCCTCCTCCTCCTCCTCCTCCACCTCCCCCTCCACCCCCTCCCTCTCCTCCTCCCTCCTCCTCCTCCTCCTCCCCCTTCTCCTCCTCCTCCTCCACCTCCTCCCTCTCCTCCTCCCTCTCCTCTCCCTCTCCTCCTCCTCCTTCTCCTCCTCCGCTTCCTCCTCCTCCTTCCTCTCCTCCTCCCTCTCCTCGTCCTCCTCCTCCTCCTCCTCCTCCACCTCCTCCACCTCCTCCCTCTCCCCCTCCGCCCTCCTCCTCCTCGTCCTCCTCCTTCTCCTCCTTCTCCACGTCCTCCTCCTCTTCCTCCTCATCCTCCACCTCCTCCTCCTCCGGCACCCCCGACAAAAGCTAGGGCTCCCAACTTCGCGCTTCGCGCTCCGCGAAGCGCGAACAACTTCGCGCTCTCGCGCCGCCCCCCTCAAAGGGAGAAAAGGAGGACGAGGAGGAGGGGGAGAGGGAACGAGGACCGCGGAGCGCGAATGACTTCGCTCCCTCGTGGGAGTCCTTGCACGAGAGAATGCTGCCTCTGAAGGCTCTGCGAGCGGCTCACGCCCGTCCCGAGGTCGCCCGGTGTGCGCGGGGCGAGCGTGCGTGGGCCGACGGCCAGGCACAAGCCAAGGCCGCGGGACGCGGGCCCGTCGCCGTGCGCTCAGAACCTTTCCGTGTGCCCGGGCGATCGCTGTGGACGCGTTCTTCGTGCCCCGGGAACGAGATAAGGACCCGAACTTTCTGCACCGATGCCTTTTTTCTGGTCCCGCCCTGAGATTCGCACAAGAAAACGGACTCTGGTGCATACGGCATCCTGGTGTATGCATTGTTCGTTGCTTCCGCGGGAAAGCGGGGAAACAAGTATGTACCACACCACCCCGACGTCGTCCCCGACCCTCAAAAAATCCGGGGATTGAAAGAGAGCCCGCCACTGGTAATGTACATGTTCCAGCTTCCGACAAGAGTCCATCACCGTTTTGAGCTGCATTTGCCCCGGCGCCAGTCTTCAGATTGTGGAGGTGCACGGTGGCATCTCAGAGAGAGAGCCTGGATAGACGCGTTCTTCGCTCCCTTGGAACAAGAGTCCATCACCGTTTGGAGCTGTGTCTGCCCCGGGGCACCAATCTTCAGATGGTGGCAATGCACGGTGGCACCTCAGAGAGAGCGCCCGGAGAGCCTTGCCTTCTCGAGGCCGTGGGTCCGTCCCTCTGGGCGCCCCCCCTGGAGATGCTTCTCTCGGATGGGGGGACCTGCGTTCGAGGGGCCTCTCTCGGCGGCGAGCGAGAGGGGTGGGGAAGTGAGAAGGAGAAGGCCTTTTCGAGAGGCGGCGGGCCTTCTCAGAAGCCCTCGCGCCTCCTGAGAAGTTGTTGTTTGTGCTCGGGGAAGGCTTAGAACACTTCTCCAGGAGGCAGGGGGGGTTCCGAACCTTCTGAGAAGGCATTCTCCTTCTCACTTCCCCCCACCCTCGCTCGCCGCCGAATTTCCAGCGGGTAATCGAGCACTTGTGAATCCTTCGGCGCGTCATCGGCGCGGAGAGCCCACGGGAGAGCGGGCGGGTTGAGAGGCCCAGGGGGCTGGGTCGATCAGATTTTACTGAGGGCCTCCGAGAGTTCTGTGGCTACTTGAAGGGCCGAGCTGGAAACTCTTCTCCATCCAAGGCCGGGCTAACAGCGATGTTGCTTAACGGTGAGGTTTGGAACCAGCTTTTCGGACATCAGGAACCACACTTTCCTACCTTTCCCATCTGCGAATGGATCGAGCAGACACGACACAGCGAATTGTAGGACAGTGCACGCACACGCGCACGCATACGCACACACACACATACACTCGCACACACTGAGACACAGTCAAACACTCACACACACACAAACACTTTTTGGCGTCGCGGCTCTGCGCGCGCGCGCCACGCGCGCTTACCCGCCCGAGATAAACAAATGCACAAACGCACACACACATCACACACAAACATACGTAAACGCACGTTCGCACATAGCTCACAACACGCAACACACAACACATACAACACACTACACATACAACACACAGAGACCCCCCCACACACACACATAGCCACACACACGAACACCACTCACAACACAACACACCATACAACACCACGCCACACCCATACCCGCACACACACACCACACACTACACGCACACAACACACAATACACAACACACACAAAACACACCACTCAACACGCAACACACACCACACGACACACCCTCACACACACACGCACACACCACACGCAACTTACGCGGCACACGCACAATATACGCAACACAAGCAACACCACACACACACCACTCACACCACAATCAAACGCACAACCCAACAGACAAGCACACGCCCACACACGCACCGACACACCCGCAGCCACCCAAACAAACACACACACACACACACGCACCCACACACGCAGAGAGAAACACACCCACACACACACAGAAGCACGCGCACACACCAAACACACACTACACAACACCCACGCTCACACCCGCACGCAAACTCACACCTACACCCACACCCTCACCCACACCACACCCAACACACACCCGCACACACATACACGCACACACACACACACACCCATTCCCGTGCACACACCAGACACACAACACACAACACACAACAACCACAGCACACTTTTTTTTTACCTGCGCGAGAAGGTCGACCCGTGGCTAAGGAGGAGAGAGGAGAGCAGCAAGGGGGGGAGAGCAAGAGGAGAAGCAAAAGCAGCAGCAGCAGTGCAAAAGAGGCGCGGCCGGCGGCCGACGCCTGGCGCCCCGGCTTTGCGGGGCGCTCGTCCCGGTCCAGCGGCTCCCTCCCTAGAAGGAGCCCAGGGCCGCGGCCCCCGCCAGCAGCGCCGCGGGGCCCAGGGCGGCCGGGTCGCGCGCTGCCGCCTCCAGCTGCGCGACCGCCGCCTGAGCCTCCGGGAAGGCCCGCCAAGCCGCGGCGCGCGCCCGCAGCCCGTCCGCCTGGGCCTCCACCGGCAAGCCGGCCAGGCCGGAGGCTTCCCAGAGAGCGGCCGCCGCGCCGCCCTCGCTGGCCCCGCCGGCGGCCGGCTCCCCGTAGCCGCCGGCTGCGCAGCCGTCCTCCGGCCGCGCTGTCGCTGCAGCAGCGCCCTCGTCTCCGGCGGCCGGCTCCCCGTCGCCGCCGGCCGCGCTGCCGCCCTCCGGCCGCGCCGCCGCAGCAGCAGCCCTCGCGCCCTCGGCACCGGCCGGCGGCTTGCCGTCGCCGCAGCCCGCCGGCAAGGGGCCGCACCGCTGGCGCGGCGGCGTCGCCACCTCGTGGCCTGCCCCGCAGGCCGCGCTTGCGTCGTCGTCCAGCACACATGACACAACCACAGCACACACACAGCACACACAACACAACACGCACAACTCACACACACCACACACCACACACACACACACCACATCACACATGAGACAAGACACCCCACGCAACACACAACACACACACCACAACACACCACACACACCACACAACACACAACACCCAACACACACAACACATACAACACACAACACACGCAAAACACACACACACGCATCCACACACGCACACTCACACACACACACACACCCACACCCACCCACACACCAACACACCAACCCACACACAAGCACACACACCCACCCACCCACACACACACACCACACCACACCACAGCACACGAGTCCACACCACAATTGCAGCACACCCAGAGCTACACCCACACCCTCACAACACACACCCACACACACACACACAAGCACACACACACGCACGTACACACACACGCGCACACACACGCGCGCACGCACGCACACACACACACACACCCACACACGCACACACACACACACGCACGCACCCACACACACACACAACACACACACACACAACACACCCACACCCACACCCACACGCACACACACACACACAAGCACACACACGCCCACACACACACGCACTCACCCACACACACACACACAAACAACACACGCACACACACGCGCACACGAAAACACACACACAACGCGCTCAACACACAACACACAACACATAACGTACACACAACACACACGAATCAACACGCACACACATCACACACAACACTCAACACACTCACAACAAACACAATATACACACAACACACCACACACGACACATAGCACACAACTCGATGCGCACATGCGCGCACGGACAGACGCACGAACGCACGCACGCACACGCGCGCACACACGCACCGAGGCATACGCCCACGCACGCACGAAACTTTCCCCAATACTTGATGCTTTTTCCTCCGTCGTTCCTCGACTGCGCCGGGTCGGGTAAGGGTCCCGGCAGGCCGAAGACGGCAAGAAACCCCAAGACTCTTTTCCCTCGAGACCCATCTCCTCCTCCTGTCTCCTCCTCCTGTGACAGCGATCCTGGCAACATGCCTGGCAACATGCCTGGCCATGCAGCTCTAACCTTCCTCGACGCCTACAGCCTGAGGCTCAAGACAAGTTCGTAAACATCATATGCGGGGAACGCCCTCACCGCCATTACAGTCATGCCGTGGGAACTAGCGGTACATTTGCAACACTTCCAAGTAGCTAGCGTTCGCAATTCATCTTACGCCAACGCGCGCAGAATATCACATGATTTTCACGCACGCTCATTTTTCAGAACGTCTTTGAGTCGTGTCTCCCTTGAGTGTCGCATCCTTGTTGTCTGTCCCTCGCTCTCCTGCCCAGACGCGCTTCGCCCCATCTGAGCGACTCTTTTCTGTCGCCCCCGCCCTGGGGTGGGGGGGTCATCGAATGACCGCGCCGAGCATCGCCTCACACTTCGCACTGTGTGGCCGCGACCGTCTGGGGGCGAAACGCGTCTTCTCTGATGAACAAGCCCCGAAGCCTGAAGCGCAATGATCCTCATCGAGCATCGTGCGGCGGCAGCCCCGCGGGGATACCACGACGGCGACTCCAACGAGAGCTTGGCCGGCCACTCCGCCACCCTCCCGATGACGTCGCCTGGCGGGGTGCAGGACAGCAGGGCAGGGGCCGACGCTTCGGAGCCGCCGCCTCGGCCTGGATGCGGCGCTCGCCTGGCTGGAGCGGCTGCTGCCCCCTGGCAGGCAATCATTGGTCGAGGGCCCGCCGCACATCCCCAGAGCCACCAGGCAGCTCCTCGCGTGGCTCCCGACCAGCTTCACGCCGAGTGGTGAGCCTGTGCGCTCCTGGGCTCCCGGCGCACCTGCCCGGGTCCGCGACGACGACAGCGACGACGGCGGCGGCGGCGACGACGACGAGGTCATGACGACGACGATGATTCCCATACCGTCGAACCCACAGGGGGGGGGGGGCACCGCAACACCACCCCACAGCCACAGGGATAGGGGGGGCGAGCCCATTAGCATTTGGGGAGGCCAGCCTGGGGCGGAGACCACCAATCTGCGAACTCGCGGCGTATGTGTTTGCACCGCACAGAGCATGAGGTCAGGACCTATGAACTGCTGCCAGAACAACCCACGGTAGCATGCGGACAAGATCTTCGGACTAAACATAACAAAGACCCACTTCACGGCTCTAAAGCACCAGCAGCATATCCTCGCCCCCCTGGCCCAGGCTTGCAACTGTCCGGCAGCGGCCCGCTCAGAGTAGTAAGAAACAGGGGGCAGCGCAGGTGACCAGCTTGAGTGCCCCAGGAATCGAATCACGCGCTCGAGCTCGCCGTGGCAAGAAATGACTTCCAGAAACGCTTCCCATCTGCAGCGGCAGACTTCAAAGGGGCCCTGGCACACGCAAATCCATAGATTGGCAAAGAACAGGACTCCCCATCTAGTTTCCCATATGTGATGCCTTTTTTTTGCTCTGCCCCCCCCCCCCCTTTCCCTATTTTCCCATGCTTCCGGGGGAATCGACGCTGAATTTCGTCTGCGTGTTTCGTTGCCCTCCGGAGGCTTGCCTTGCCCACATATGGCAGGTTCGTGTCGTGCCGACCCCAGCGTTGGTTTTTGACACCGCAGGGATCGTTCAACCTTGAACGATCGGCCGCTGCCGCAACGTCCGATCGTTCAACATCGACCGATTCTGGGTCGCTGGCGGCGTTCAACCTTGAACGCCCGCGCTGGGGTCGCCGCTGGTCGACACGACGCAAACCTACCGTATCGCGCCTCGAGGCCCGCCCCGCGTCGGTGCGCCGGGCTCCCCGTGGGCCCAGAGGGGGGGGGCGGCGGTCCGATGCCTGGCCGCGCCCGGGGCAGAGCCAGCCAGAGCAGGCAGGGAGGAGGGAGGAGGACCCTCGTGCGATGATGCTGATCACGAGGAGGAGGAGGAGGAGGAGGATGATGATCATGAGGAGGAGGAGGAGAAGGAGGAGGAGGAGGAGGAGGAGGAGGAGGGGGAGGGGGAGGAGGGGAGGGGGAGGAGGAGGAGGAGGCGGAGGAGGGGGACGATGAGACATAACAGTGAGGAGAAACAGCTGCTACTGCGAAGCGATGGCTCAGCCAGAGACGGGTTCTGGAAAACAAGCTGTGCGGGTGCCGGAGATCGGTTGGGAGCCTGGGCTTCCTTCGGAGCGTAGTCCATGGAAAACCTCAGCTGAGATCCTAAGCTAAAGAAGCCTGTCCCCAAACCGGCCAACATAGCGAATTTGAACATACCACGCATTCATCATCTGCCCGCTTCCAGCCGCACTCTTTTCGAACTGCTTCTGACCCTCTGACCTCAGAGTGGCCACAAGGAGGCCAGGTGGTCGATCGAGAAGAGACTCGCGAGGAACTAGCTCTCTGGAAGCGCTGCATCTTCTGTACACTCGAGCTACACAGCAGGGATGCAGGATAAGGGGGGCCACTACCTTGGACGTCCACGCGGCAACAAACTGTTAGGCACCATGCCAACAACTCAGGGATCTGTGGCCAAGGGCGGGCCGAGGATGCAAGGATGCAAGACTAGCCTCGCTACAGCACTGCGACCGTGCTGTAGACGGTGACCGTCAGGCTGAGGACTGGACAATGAACTGGCGGCGGACGTTGGTTTCCGTCCCCCGCGGCTGGATGTCTTGATGCGAAGCCTCTCCCAAAGTTCCGCCCCCCGCCCCCTCCCCCCGGCGGTTCGCGGCCCGCTGCCTTCCGCACTCTCTGCCCAGGCGCGGATGTAGAATCTGCGCTGCCTGTCTGGCGGACATGGGCTGGGACAGTGGACGAGGAGGCACATGAGGAGAGGGAGGGGGGGGGCAGGGAGGTTAGAGGTTGGAGGGGGGGGGTCGAGGTTCCACGACGGCTGGGGGAGCACGTCGTTCAAACGCTTTGTCAGACTGTGGCCCAACCTTTGGCCGCATGGGCGTTTCTTGAAAGGCAAGGGGCGGCAGTGGTCCGCCGCACATGTCTCCGATACATGTATGCACTTTAACATCGCGCCCACACACATGTTTATAGATGTGTATATACAGGTATGGACGAAAATGTATGTCTGCAAAATAATGATACAGCTTCAGCTTGGACGACAACAATTCGAGTTACAACATTGCCTCTGACGGGTGAGGAACGGGAACTGGAACGAAGATCGACAAACAAGTCGAAACGCATCTCGCTACATGTTGTGCCAAGTGACGACGCGGAAACAACAAAACGACTTCACCGAACACCACAGCTCTCGCAACAAACGTCAGCACTGCAAGAGAAGGCGTCTGAGCATCCGGAAAGCCTCTGATCACAGCGCCAAAGACACCAGCGACAACTGACTGTCGAGGCCGTCCGTGCCCGAAATCCTCTCCCACGGTGCCCGGGTCTTTCGAGCCTGCACAGCCAAACCACACGGCGGCCACTGCCATCAGATGGCGTGCGCAGCTGAATTAGGAAATGACGCTCTCCAATTCCAACTTCGAACGAACCAAGGGCAACTCACGACAATTCAACAACCAACATTAGGAACTCAACCGTACCAATTAATGTGTAGTAGCGTGTAATGTAGCACTCTCCGCGTGAATGAGTGTGCCACACACCCCACCCACGATGCTAAGCGCAAGTGAAACAACTTATGAGATACGTTGCTGTGCAATTCAACTGCCCACCGCAACGCAATGCTCACCAAGGCGGTCGAGGAACGACGTAAACAACCCAACTGACAAGTGACTTCAAATATGATGTATCCGTATAACGGACATGGAGGCGCAGCCGTGCAATAAGTTTGCCTGGCCCTCGCTGTCGGTATTCACCGTGGTGCCAACCTCGCAAACACAACCCGATCGCACATGTAACCCTACGGCGTCAACTCTTCTACTCGGCCGTGCTCCCACCTGAATGGCAGCGACTTCCCGTGGTCACGAATCTGGATACAATTTCAGCGATATTCCAGCCGCTGGGAGCAAAGCACGGTCCCTGATGCACTCCAAAGTCGCCAACACCGAAACGCGACCGTGCTCCCAACCGATATGTCGGATGCCAGCGGGGACAGCCATGCTGCACTGCTGCAGCCCAGAATGCTCGCGAAGCTTTTGAAGGCAAGCAGAGCGCGACCACCCACCTTCACGTCTGACGAAGAAGAGAAGCAGGATATACGTACATATACATATACATATGTATATATATGTATGTATTGGAACACTTTCCCAACGAACGTTGTAGCGGCCAGGCGACCGATCACTTGATGACGAGAAGGACGAACGTAGCAGGAAGAGAGGGGTGATATGACATGAGCAATCGGCATGGAGCCAAGTTCGGTCGGGCTACGCTGGCCCGCCGTCGGCCTGCGATGAGGCCTCCCCGGAATCGTCGAGGGGCTCGTCTGACCCCTCCTCGGCTTCCTTCTTCGGGCACCTCGCTCCTTCCGCACGGATGGCGGGGAGCTCTCCCTCCTCCAGGCCGAAAGCCCACAGCACCTCAGCTCGGGACGACGCCCCCGCCAAGGTGCCCGCCCCCCGAAGCCCCGCCTCCCCCGCGCCCTGAACCGAAGCGCATGGGGCAGGCTCACTCGAGCCAAACAAGGAAGCAAGGCAGCCCTTCGCACGCGCACCGCATGCGGCACGTCTTCGGGGGTCTACAAGCGAAGGTCCCTTGGACCCTCCTTGAAACCAGGGTATCTGCCAGCCTTGATCCGATGGGGCTGCGCTCCCAGGCCCGAGGCCGCGTGCTCGCGGAGGGTCGCCCCACGCTGCAAAGGCCCCACAGGCACAACAGAAACGCATGGCCTTGCCACCGTCACGAACCGACATGTCACGCGCGTGCGCATGCAGCACCAGGGGGCTTTTGAACCGGCAGCCTCTGTCACGAGAGGCCCCAAGCCATCCGCGGGCGGCTGTGGCAGGCGGGCCTCCCCGTCCCCCGACGCTGGCGCCGCCTCGGGCGGGGCCCGCTGCTGCGGGTCTGACGGCGCCTCCTCAGGAGGAGGAGGAGGAGGAGGAGGATTGAGGAGGAGGGGAGGAGGAGGAGGAGGAGGGAGGAGGGGGAGGTGAGGAGAGGAGGAGGAGGAGGAGGAGGAGGAGGGAGAGGAGGGAGGAGGTTGAGGAGGAGGAGGGAAGGAGGAGGAGGGAGAGGAGGAGGAGGAGGAGGAGGAGGAGGAGGAGGAGGAGAGTCGTCACGACTTGCAGCACGCAGCTCCGTGAGACAGGCCTGGTCCTGGAGGGCCTCCCCGTCCCCACGCAGCCCGTGCAGCCGCCCACTCCGCCGCCCAGCCTCGCGGGAGGCCCCCCGCCAGGCCTCGCCAAGAGTGGTGCTCGCTCTCCTCCGCTCCGTGGAGGGCGGCACCTCGCTCCGCGAATTCGTCCACGGCGTCATTGCCACGCTCCTCCCAAAGCGCGTCTCGATCCTCAAGCACATCGGCCATGCTGCAATGGGCTGATCGTCTGGTGGCCGAGCCGTCGCCGGCCACCAAAGCCGCCCAAAAAGGGGAGGTGGAGGAGGAGGAGGAGGCCCGAGGGTTGGTGGCCCCCGCCCCCGCGCCTGGGCCCGCCCAAAAATTGACCACAGTGCCCTTGCAATCAATACGCAGGTCACGGGGGGGAATCGCCACTTGGCAAACTTCTCCTTCTCCTTCACCTCCCCCTCCTCCTCCTGCTCCTCATCCTCCTGCTCGAGCTCCTCCTCCTAGTCTTCCTCCTCCCTCCTCCTGCTCCTCCTCCTATTCCTCCTCCTCCTCTTCCTCCTTCTCCTGCTCCTCCTCCTAGTCTTCCTCCTCTTCCTCCTTCGCCTCCTTCTCCTCCTCCTCCTTCGCCTCCTCCTCCTCCTCCTCCATACTCACAGCATCGTCTTCAGCCTCCCTCGACGACTGACACGGGGCCCGCCCTCGAGGTACTTGTCCGCGCGCCGCCGCCACCACCTGACCAAACATATCACCCACCACGGTGGACCACCATGCTCTGGAGAGAAGCCTGGGACTCGGGAAGAGGGCCGACCCGTCCAGAAACGAAAAACCACAGAGGTAGCCAGAGGCAGGCCGTTGGCACCAGAACGCCGCCTGTTGGACCTGACCCCCCTGAGGCAGAACAGCCACTGGGCTGGGGTCGGGGAAGCATCCCCGCGCCAGAAGTTCGCTGGCCTCGAACCTCCACGCCTTACCTTTACGGGCCCTGCGAAGCAGTCCTGGCGACGCGCGGTCTCTCCTAAGACCTGCGTGCGCATCTCATGCGCAGCTGTGATGCCACAGGGACCAGTCGGGGTGGCCGCACAAAGCGCAAGCGGCAGAATCTGAGAGCCCACGTTTGCGCAGTCGGACCTGGGGCCACCACATTCAGGAATGATGGCCCTCAAGGCCCGCCGCTGGTGGAGCGACCAGCTGGGCGAGGTCCCGTGCAGGAGGGGAACTGAACTACGTCATACCACTGGCGACACCCGCGGACTCGAAATCGCACTGAGCGGCTGTCGGTCAGACTCGCGCCTCGCTCCTTCCTCGGCAAGCCGTCTCGCTGCTGCTGGACTCAGACGCACAAGCCTGAACATTTCACCGAGATCGCTCCTAAACCTGGGGCCGAAGGAGTGTTCCAGCCCATGCCCCTGTACCAGGTAGTGCATATCAGCAGGAGGCGCTGCGGCCACCCATGGCCACCTGCACTCCGAGCACCTCGCACGGGCCAGCGCGAACTGGAACTGGAACTTCGGCCCACCTGCCCAGCGCGCCGTGCCCCATTGGCATGCAAACCGGCCGGTGGCTATGACCCAAGGATCGGCTCGAGAACCATCGCGAAACGCATGCACGCGGAACCTGCCGAGGTTCCTGCACGTCGAGACTCCGAGCCTGTGGAGGTCCGCGGGAGCGATGCCCAAGACGCACGCCTCACATGGGGCATGGGCCGTCGCCCCCCCCCTCCCCCCAGCGGTTTGACAGGGCGCCTTGACGACCTAGCAGCCTTGCCCCGACGTGCCCGAGTGACCCCCGCGCGTCTTCGGGTCCCGAGATTTGCGTCGGCCCCGCGGTTCCTGGAGGGATTGACTCCGCCTGGAACTTGGGGCGACCGCCGACCTCTCGAGCGAGGCTGCCAGCTCTGGACTGCTGGCGAAGTACCTGCAAATCTTCAAGTGCACGGGGGGCTCGAGCTCGTCGGCAAAAAACGAGAATGTGATCCACGGCGGCCGGGAGCTCGTCGGCCACCAGCTCGCGGGGCCCGAAGCACTGTGGCGCGACGTCGTCGACGGCGCTTCGCGCCTGCAGCGGGGGCGCGCCGCGGGCCACGGCGCCGAGGGGGCCGATCAGTAGCCGGTGTCGTGGCCGCCAGACATCCCGCGGAGGCCAGCAGAAACTCCGAACGAGCCCCATCGTAAACCAGCATTCTGAAGCCCGAACCAGTCGTAACCAGGCCCCTCAGAAGATCCATGTTGAAACAGAACCATCGGCCAGCAGCGAAAAGGTCCACGTGTCGCACGGGCTCGTAAAAAACTTCAAGTCGAAGAGAGCCGAGGCACTGTCCGCGCCAATCGCGCGGCAATTCGCCCCAAGGAGGTGGCGATTCCAACCGGCCTTCTCGCGCGCCGTCGTCGGGCCGCCCCCCCGGAAGATATCCGCATTGTGATCTCGCTCCCGGGCCCGACGCAACGGTTGTTTTATTTTACTCCCGAGTTTCATGAAACGGCTTAACACTTCCCCTTCGGGCTTCGGGATCAACACTGCGTTCCTCGCAAGCTCTATCATCCAAGACGGGAGAATCTCGCGCACCCTGACCCGGAACCCAGCACGCAACTGCAAGATCAGCTTCGGGCGAAACAGGTCCTGACCGAGCCCAGCACCTGCAGAATAGGACGTGCGACGCGCCTGCAGGGCTTCCAAGGAGAGCCGGGGAAGCAAGCCATCGCCTGTCCCACGACGACGGATCCACCGCCTCGCGCCCAGCAGGAGCCCGCGTAGGGGGCCGCTCGTCGAGGTGCTGGGCTATGGCCACGTCGCCATTGACATGGGGCGCCGTTGAGTCCTGGAGGTCGGCGGGGCTCGCGCGATTCTTCTCGGCATGGGCGCGAGCAGCGGCCCCCGCCCCTTTCGACGCGGCCTCCTCGGCCCAGGCCCTCCACCTGCGACCTCGCTCGCGCGCGCCCGCGCCCGCCAACAAAAACAGCGCGAAGTCGGCAAGCTTGGGCCCTGCGTCGTCAGCCGACGCTCTGCCGCCCTTGATCTGGTCGACCAGGCCGCGCGACAGCTGCTCGCTCGGTTCGGGCGCTCCGCGACTTCCTGCTGCTGCGACGGGGCGGGGGGGCCCTCTGCGAACGTGCCCCCCGTTGTGTCGACACCCTGCCTATCGCGAAGCCGCCCCCGACCTTTCCGCCACAAGGATCCCGCAGAAAGCTCGGGCCCCCGACTGGCCACACTCTGGGTGGCCACCCAACTCGCTGTCAACGGGCTGACCCCCCCGCGGGCCCCCCGATCCCAGATAGTCTGCAGAGGCACCGCGGACGTCTGAAGACCTATCTCACGACCATGCGTGCACATGATGGTGGTCGTCAGGCACATCGCGGCAGCGGCAGACGCCTTGCCAAGCCTCCGGGTGGTTGAACCACTCCCGGACAGCCCCAGGAACGTCAGCAGGGGCCTCGGGCCCCAATCTCCAGTCAGCGCTGCGTGAAGCCACGTGCGTGCCTATGATGGGCTCCACGGGGAACGTCTTGAACGCCTTGGGCGCCCTGTGCGAGGCCTTCCCTCAGACCTAAACACAGCGGCCGCGGGCGTTCGGGGCGACGGCGGGGCCGCGTCCAGGGCCGCGACCTGGTTGATGCAGTGCCTCGGGACCTTTGCCCCCGCCTAGAGTCCGAGCTCCCTCTCGACTGCGGCCCGCTCTTGCGCCCCGCCCCCCCCCCCCCCCCTTCCCTTGCGCTTCGCGGAATGCGCGGCCGCGCTGGGCTGGGAGATCGCGCCTGCGACCGTGTTGAGCCAGCCCGACGAGTCGAAATCACCGGCAGGCCCCCAGGGAAGCCCGCCTTTGTTCGACGAGGGACAATTCGGTGACCCAGAGCTGCATTGAGGGCTCCTCCAGAGCCTCCTCGACTCCTCGCACGAAGGTGCGTGGCGTTGGACAGCAATGGCAACGCCGCCCGAACTCTCCGTCGGGCCAGGACCCGTCGAGCGCGCTCGACCTAGCTGCACAGCAAGCTGATGCTCGATGCCCCAATCGCGGTCGGCGTCACCTTCCTCTTGGCCTCCGTGATCGCAATCACCTGCGGGTAGGGTGCGTCCATGCTGACTGCCCTTATCGTGGCCCCTGTCCTGGTATGAATTGAAGATGCCCTCGACGCTGTTCCAAGCAGTGGTGTTGACGCCACATGTTTGAAACAAGTTGCCGCGGTTGGCCTTCCGGCTTCCAGAACCTGGAAAAACCTGGGCACTTGCTCGCCGAGCCCGATGCCTAACCTGACACTTGTTTTCTCACAGCTACGGGCGCAACGTGGGGAGGAGGTAGCGTTGCTCACAGGTAGCGTTGGTCACCGTCAACTTTGGAGAGTGCCCCTCCCGGACATCTCGCAGCACTAGCTCGCTCTCGACCGCCTCACTTCTCGCCGGGGCGTCCTCGTCGGTAGATGGGCCAGCTGGTCCAGCCGAGGAAGCCGATGCAGACGGTTCCGGAACCGCAGGCAGTAACCGCTGAGGAGACGCGGCGTGAGACAGTCTGACCCTCCGCTGCTACGTCGAAGCCGAAGCTGGGCCACTCAAGGTCGACTGCGTTGGCCCGCAAGAAGTCAGCAAGCCCAACAGCCTGTCCTAGACTCAAGTCGGGCATGTGTCCCCCCACAGGCGGATTTTGGAATGAGAGATAATCAAATTGTCAAGAGCTTGCTGCGTGGAGCTCCCCATGTGCATCCCATGTTTCATGTCATGCCATTGTTCATGAGCGCACTGACGAGCAAACTGCCTGAGACATCCCCACAACATGGCCGCGAACGGGCCCGTGTCCTACCCCCTGGCGGCTCTCCTTAGGGATGCTCGTTGGGCATGAAAACGAGCAAACCGCCTGAGACATCCCCCACAAACTGGCCGCGAACGGGCCCGTGTCCCACCCTGTGGCGGCTCTCCTTAGGGGTGCTGAAACGAGCGCCCCGCCTGAGATATCTTCACAATCTGCTCTGAAAACCAAGGATGCTGGGCATGAAGACGAGCAAACCGCCTGAGACATCCCCACAAACTGGCCGCGAACGGGCCCGCGAAAACACCCCTGGCGGCTCCCCTTAGGGGTGCTGAAACAAGCGCCCCGCCCGAGACATCCTCAGAATCTGCTCTGCGAGCGGGCCCGTGAACACACCCCTAGCGGCTCTCCTTAGGGGTGCTGAAACCAGCGCCCCGCCTGAGACATCCACACAAGCTGCTCTGAAAGCCAAGGATCTTGGGCATGAAAGCAAGCAAACCGCCTGAGACATCCCCACAAACTGGCCACGAACAGGCCCGTGAAACCACTCCTGACGGCTCCCATTAGGGTGCTGAAACCAGCGCCCCGCCTGAGATATCTTCACAATCTGCTCTGAAAGCCAAGGATGTTGGGCATGAGAACGAGCAAACCGCCTGAGACATCCCCAGAAACTGGCCGCGAACGGGCCCGTGAACACACCCCTGGCGGCTCTCCTCAAGGGGTGCTGAAACCAGCGCCCCGCCTGAGACATCCACAACATCTGCTCTGACAGCCAAGGATCTTGGGCATGAAAGCAAGCAAACCGCCTGAGACATCCCCACAAACTGGCCGCGAACGGGCCCGTGAAAACACTACTGGCGGTTCCCATTAGGGTGCTGAAACCAGCGCCCCGCCTGAGATATCTTCACAATCTGCTCTGAAAGCAAAGGATGTTGGGCATGAGAACGAGCAAACCGCCTGAGACATCTCCCACAAACTGGCCGCGAACGGGCCAGTGAAAACACCCCTGGCGGCTCTCTTTAGGGGTGCTGAAACGAGCGCCCCGCCTGAGACATCCTCACAATCTGCTCTGAAAGCCAAGGATGGTCGGCATGAAAACGAGCAAACCGCCTGAGACATCCCCACACACAAACTGGCCGCGAACGGGCCCGTGAAAACACCCCTGGCGGTTCCCCTTAGGGGTCTGAATATGACTAGGTCTGAATATGACTAGGTCTCAGTCCGTGCGTTGAATAATTCAGACTATGAGAAGGTCTGAGTATGTGTAGGTCGGAGTATGAGTGAGTCTGTGTATGAGCAGGTCTGGGAACGAGTCTGGGTATGAGTAAGTCTGGATATGAAGGAGTCCCAGCATGAGTAAGTCTGAGTATGAGTAGGCCTGCATGTTGTGTGTTGAGTACGTCAGACCATGAGAAGGTATGAGTAGGAATAGGTCTGAATATGAGTAAGTCTGTGTATGAGTAGGTGGGTTCTCTCTGGTTCTCTGGAGTCGGCGTCCTCCGAGGAGTAACAAGAACCCCATCTTAGGATATGGGGAACAATCGTCCCCGTAGCATGTTTTGACTACTTTTGAATTCTCCCCCTGTAGGGGGACAGGCCCGACTAAATCCTAGACCTCCTGAAGTACTTGCCGCGCTGGACGCCGCCCCGGTCGCGGGGCACGCGGCGCCCTCTGCCCGTCCGGCCGAGCCGCCGACGGCTTGTTGCCGCCGGGCGGCCCCGCAGCTGGCCGCCCGGCGCGCCGCCTGCCAGGCGTGGCCTACAGTCAGCCCGCACCGCACGGAAGGGTAACCTTCTCAAGGGTACCCCTGCACTCTTGCCTCCACGGTCCATCCTCGGCCATTTTCGTTGGCCGCGCCCCGCTCGAAAAGTATCGGCGTGGCCTTCCAAGGCCCTTGCATCCGGGTTGACTGTGCCCAGGGGTGCGTCTAGAAGAAGGAAACGCATAAACATAAACTTTTGGGGCTCCGCGCGGATTTCTTTCAATTCGTGCTGGGCCCCCCTCCGCGGCGCGCGAAGCGCGCCAGGGGCGGCGCTGGAGGCGCCGCCAGGGGGCCCGGGCGCGGATCCAAGAACTCCGCACGTAGCGCAAAAGTTTATGTCTAACTATGTTTTGCTCTTCTTCGAGCGTCACCGTCGGGGAGCAGTCTCAGATCGGGTGAGTCTGGCGGCCCGGGTGGAGTTGCCGAGCTCCGCAACGGGGGCCCTGAAGACCCAGCCCGGGTGCCATCGCCCACTTCGTCGGCTCCCCTCTCCGGCGGCGCTTCGCCTGGCGTCGGCTGGCGCAGGGCTTCGGCCGCGAGGTGGCAAGCTTCTCTGGCACTGGCCGAAGTCTGATGGGCCTGTTTTCCACCACCGCCACCATAAGTTGGAGGGAGGAGGAGGACGAGGAGGAGGAGGACGAAGAGGAGGAGGAGGAGGAGGAGGAGGAGGAGGAGGAGGAGGACCCCCTCCCCCTTCGTCTTATGGTGGTGGTGGTGGAAAACAGGCCCATCAAAGTCTTCCGCGTGCGTGGCGGCCCCGACGACGCCCAGCCGGCGCCCCTTCGTGGAGAGACGGCCACTCCTCACCAAGACCGGCGCTGCTTCTTGGCCGACGTCCGCCGCCCGGCAGGCGAGACCTCGGCCCGGAAGTTCTCCGGCTCGAGGCCGGCCCGGGCGGGGGGCGCTGGGCCAAGGTGCCCCGGCCCCTCCCGCAGCGCCGCCAGCCGCGCCACCGGCGGCACCGCCAGTGGGCTGGCCGGCAGCCCCAGCAGCACGCTCGGCCGCCGCCTCGGCCTCCCGCCGGAGGCGCTGGGCGGCCTCCAGCGCCGCCTTGGCTTCGGCGCTGGCCGCAGCCGAAGGATCCGACCCCGCCGTGCACGCGGTGACAGGGTCGTCCACGCCCTGGAAGTTGGCCCTGAACAGACCCTGTGCGGCATCTTTGTGTGACGCGCTAGATCTCCCCGAGCCTCTCCGGGCTGCGCGGTCGTCTCCTCGACGATGCGCCGCAACTCTCGCTGAGGAGCCTCGAACTGCTGGAGGCGCTCTTCGAGCTTCCCGACCTTGCGGGTGGCATCAACTCGGCGTCTCGCCGCCAGCGCTGCCGGGGGCTTGGAGTCGAGCTTTCTGACCTTAGCCTCCTCAACTTTGGCGATCGTTGACGTGTCAATGCCATGACCCCTGAGGAATACGAGAACCTGGGCGTAAGAGAGGTCCCCGCCCGTGGTGGACGAGGTCGGGCGCGAGTATCCCCCCCCCGAGCCGCCCGATGAGCCAGCGCATCCGCCACCTCCTTTGGTGAGCGACGCCAGCTGCGCCTTCAGATCCTTGAGCTCCTTCTCCGATCGAGACTGCTCGCCGCTGGCGTCGGGCCTCCGACCTCCTGGGCGCACTTTGGCGGCAGCAGCGCGGGCATCTTGCTGGATGCGCGCCGGCGCCGTCGCTCCGCATCCTCGGCACTTGAGCCGACTTGCCCGGTTGCCGCTCTCGCCGCACGCGCCGCACCCCCCGACTGGGAACTTGGGGCCTGGCAGTACGTCACCCTCTGCGACCATGGACGCGAACGCGGCCACTGATCTGGGAAACCTTGGCTCGCAGGCACGAGCACCACTTCGAAGCATGCACCTGCAACACTCTCGAATGCGAAATGGCTGACTTGAGCCCAAGTCGAGGATGGACAAAACCCCTGTAACGACCTCGGGCCCAAACCTGGCGTGCGCAAGCCTGGAAAATGACGGCCGCGACGCCGTCTCGAGAACCGGAAACGGAGAATTCACTAATCGACGTGTCAGGGTGTGGATTCTGTCCACCTCCGATAAATAGCTTGAGCCAAAAAGGCAACGGAAGAGAAGGGAGGGGAGCAGGACGAGAACACGAACGAGGACGACGACGACGAAGAGGAAGGAGCACAGGAGGAGGATGCGGACGAGGAAGAGCGGGAGAAGCCTTCCCTCCTCGACCCCCGCCTCCTGTGGCACGAAGAGCACTAGGCCCCGAGGAGAACGAGCTCTGGATCCCAGCCCCAGGAGGACGAGGAGGAGGACCACGACGAGGAGGAGGACGAGGAGGAGGAGGACGAGGAGGAGGAGGAGGAGGAGGAGGAGGAG